TAAGTGTAACACAGAGAAGGAGCAGCCAGTGTGGCGAGACTACTGCAGCGTAACTCCATTACCTCACATATAATCAGAGTACGGACAGCTGACTGGCTGATTAATAGCTTCAGCCTGGATGGCATGCCTGGATATAGATGCTGCCCAAAAGCAGAGCTGCTATTAGTGGCGCTTGCGATATGAGGTTAGAATAAACAAAATCAACAGGCCTGTCAACAACATGGCCGCATCCGAACAAGGTCGGCCTCCCGTTCACCCAAAACCATCTGGTTCCAGGCGGGTTTAGAATAGAAAGGTTTAAAACATATATAGTCTGTCTGATGGAGAAAGAGGACCAGAGGGGGGAACCAGCAGACAAAACGGCCACACTGCAGTTTGTTTTTTATTCTCGTCAGTCGCCAGGTTATTGAACCAATGTATTTATAAAAAGTGGCTTCGATGGCTGTTAATACATAAACCAGTGGTTCAATGTGTTGCAAGGGTTATATTATTTCAGGGGTTAGACGAGGCACACTTTCTATCGATCTGTCAGCAACTGAAAACTTTTCTTCTTCAAAAGCAAAATAAAACCATACAAAAATTGCAATCTGAATACTTAATGAAGAAAGCAGGACTCACTAAAGGTACAGTAGAGTACATCGATTCTGGGACATGCACCAATGATAAGAGTTTATGCAAATATTGATGTCAAGAGATAAATGAGCCTCTCATTTGAGTGTGTGTGCGCAAAGGTTATTCAGATGTTTAAAATGGTCACATGTTGAAATTCAACATTCCAACTTAATGCCAAGCAAAGGCCAAATAATACGGTCTAGTCACAGACTTTCGCTAATATTTTTGTCAATGGAGAATCCTAAATTTCAACCAGGCCTTTCCTTTTAATCTGTTGCTATCTCCAAGATCGCAGCATCTGGCAGGAGCGGAGCCAAGTAGTAATGTTTCCTCAGTAAAGATGGCATCAGCACAGACGACTGTCGGCCTTTCAAAGTACTTTCCACTTAATAATCTTTGAGCTGTCCTTTCATGTGGAAGTCATGAGAGGGAAACTATGAAAAAAGGGTCATAAAACTGGTCAAACTGAAAATGATATTTTAAACTGAGGCTAATAAGAGCTCGTATTTCCCAGCAGAGGATGTCACTGCTGCCTCTTTTGCAGATTTCTTTTGTAATCCTTCCCTTATTATGCAATATTAAGATTTATAGCTCATATGTCTTGACACAATAGGATTATAAATGCAGCGTTCCTGCTGTTTTTAGGCAAAAACAGGCAAAATTGTAAAACCGTTCCAAGATATGAGTGCAATAAAATAAGACGTGCCCTCCTAAAGCAGCATAACACGACAATTTGACACTCATTTAACTGCTGAAAAATACTTTCTACCCGCATCCTAGATCTGCCTCATTCCTCAGTGCTTCATTATAGGCAACATCCATCCCACACATAGGAATATTTTGGTTGAACCTTGCTCTGGAAAGAGCCGTAGGTCAAAATCTGGTTGACCGAGATGACCTCGGCTGACCAGAGTGAAGAGTGAGGACCGTGCCGGCCCTGTCCTGCGGTCGGGGAGGACTTTGGTAACAAGGGGAAAAGCTTAGATCCTGAGCGAGCGCTGCGGGCACTCAGCACCAGCCAATTATCTGCGACCCCACAATGTTCCACAATAACAACCCCAACAGGCTGGGGGAAGAGGAAATGAAAGTAAGCGGAAAGTTTTTTTGAGACATAAAAATGATTCTGCAGTTCAGAAATAAAAGAATTCCGACCAAATGAACCGGGCAGATATGTGATCCTGCAGACGTCATTTCTTCTGCATCGTCAGACAATGAGGGCAGTGACGGGAACACACACATCATTAAAACCTCTTTATATTACTCAGCAGACACATAACCACTGTAATTTTAAAAATAAGGTCACACTCCTAGGTCGTCAGCCCTCAGAACATCAATATGCGCTGCTTAACCTGGTTTCCGACTGTCAATACATGAGTCTGGAGCTTTGTTTACAAGGTCATTCAGGTTCAAACACTAAAGATTAACTTGGTATTTTTTCAAATCACAGGTTCCAAAAACTGATCCACACCAGTTTGCTGCCAAAGTTTTTCATTTTGAGGAATTGGTTTGGTTTTATTCTGTCACAGAACAACCTTCACACGATATTCACCAAGAAATCAAAAACAACAAAAACATTCATATACAATACAATGCTAAAGGATCTGACAACAGGGACTTATAATGCATTTTGTACTTTTCACCTGTTCACCCTAATTTGTCTCGTGTTCCAACTCGTACTGACATAGTGGAAAGTCCTACTAACAAACTCGTCATTTCATTCAACCTGTTTTTAAAACTAACTTTGCCAAAGATGAAATTGGCATGAGTTTGTGAAGTCAGGGAGCTGAAAGTTCTTATATTGCTTAAGTTTTAAAAAAAAGCCTACCATTATTACTCCCTCAAATCCCTGGTCCACTTACAAGTGAAACAGGCTTTGAAAACAAACGTCACATGGACACATGGGTAGCACCACTAACAGACATTTGTCATCATCACATCCTGCCAGGTCAGAGTTTTGTGAAATTCCAGTTGCTATAAAGTAAATAAAGCACTCTAGACATGTCAGTACTTCGCCAAAATGTGTCTTTCCTGGTTAGTCTGATCTGAGCTTAAAAGAGAATAAAAGGCAAATTTCCAGGCCATTATTTTGTGCATCCACTTTAAAAACAATTTGCATTTAAAAGACTTTTATATGCACATACACATAAAAACCAAGTTAGTTAGTTAGATTTCTCCAATATACCTCATATCATATTAGTTAAATCGCCCAGAACCTGTATAGAAAGTGTATAACATGGGTAATGTATCCAATATAACCTTCCAATCTCTTTATTCTTTCACAAAAGCAAGGTATCCTCATTACATATACATATTAACACACGCATACACCACCAAGACAATAATAACGCCCCAAAAGCCCTGCGCCATGATGGTGGGCGCTTAAAATACCTCCAGTGCATGTTAAAAGCAGAGTGCTGCAACAGAGTAAAATTGACCTCTACCAAGCATCCTGGGGCGATGTTTTCAGTCACCTCAAAGCATGTTGGGCAGTTCTTTGGCGAGCCGCGGGCAGACGGTTTAAAAACACAGCTTCTGTTTAGTCAAATTCTAACACCAACACAGCAGACTTTTGATCCAAAACTCTGTGGACGAGACGGCGGGCAGCTTGATGTGCCACTGACACAAATAAACATCAGTGCAGGCCACAAATAAATACCTCTCTTCCGGTGTGCTGTGTGGCAGCCGAGCATCTGGCACGCGCATCAGTGAGCCAACACACATGGAAAAATGTCCAGCCACTGTAGAAATACTGTATCCGGTATATATTTTTTATTTCTGTTTTTTATAGTGATGCTGCAGGACGTTGCTGCTTCAGAGCCATGACTATATACAGCTTGTTGCTGTGAGAGCTCGGGGTTAAGACCACAGCCCTCTGGAGACAACGGCCTCTCACATGTGCACAGCTCTAAACCAGCTGGATGTAACTCAAAAATAATTGCTTCCTCCACAACGTCCAGGAAAGCATGATGTGTGTGCTATCTTCACGACTCCTCCCTGCAGGGATGGCAACTAAATCAACATTTTACAACCATTTATCATCAACTCGCTTTGTAGTTTTTTTTGTTCGTATTATCTGAGGGATGCTTGGAAGAGTTTAGGGGAGAGATTGTTGGTTTGGCGTTGGTAGGCAGTTGAGTTATATTGGCAAAGTATTCGAACATTAATTATACCATGGTCTGGGTGAATACTCACCTTCTTAGTAGTCCTAGTGAAATTGTCTTTCCACCGTTCTACATTATTATTATTATTGGAATAAACTGAATAAAAACCACATCTGAATATCTTATAAAGATATTTTTTATAAAGTCCTTCAGTGCCTCATGATCTGAAGACCACAGGATGGCGACTGTAACACACAAGCCCCCACACTGCCCCTGTGAACTTACTGATACTTTGTATAAGCGATCATCTCACATCCTGTCCGCTATCCAGCTCGCCACTTCAGGCTGCGGCCGTCAGTACACATGCCCTATCGTTTGTTCATGAAAATCTTGATATTGATTTGGCTGAATACTTAAACATATTGTCCAAATATATTTACCGTTTGTCAGCTGTATGCAGTTTTTGACTTTGAATCTGGCTAGCACAATATTAGCTCTCTGGCTCGATGCTGAGCGGACCAAAAATATCTCCAAATCGAAACCATGGTTCGCCCTATTTACTGGAGTAGTGCACACTGTTTCCATTGCAAAAGAATCAGAACAAACATGAAAATTTGAATAAAAGGTATCTTTTTTTTCTTTAGCAAAGCGATTATAGACCACGGTTCTCTGCAGAGGCAACTGTCCTTAGGCATCTGTTGATTCTGGCCCCCACGTAGTCCATTAATTCCTTATAGTGGACACCTCGTCCGTCATTGCTTGTTTCATTTGATTGTGTAAAAAGGTGCATCTTCAAAACATAATTGAGGTAAAAGCAGCTTATTTAGCCTGTTTAACTGTTTGAAACATCCGCACACATATGTATGGTTAGTAGTCAGGATTACCCTGCAGGATGGAAACTTTCTATTTCTAAGTTTAATACAGAAAAAGTGGTAAATTTTCAAATCCATACTGTACACCATGAATCCAAGCTGACCACAGCCACCATGCTCCTTTTCTAAGTCTACAGAGAGGCAGGTGTTTCCTGCTCAAATGATTTGGGGAGTATCACTTTAAAAATCCTATTCTGAACAACTGTGTCTACTTCCACGACAAAAAAACTGGGAGGTGCACACTTGTTACAGTGTAATATGCAGTGCAGAAACCACACAGCCAATGAATGGCTACAAAACTACAGCCAAAAAAAAAAAAGAAAACAAGAAGATTGTGAAAAAAGTCTAATAACTTATTAGCAATGAATCCCAATACTTCTTTGTGCACATCAGAGTGAGTGTCTTGTGTTGGTACCGTGAGCGAAGCGGTGGACCCAGTAGTAGCAGAAGTCCACGCCCAGGAAGCTGAACCACCAGGTCCAGGCGGAGTCCCAGGGCAGCTCCACCAGGCGGTACCGGTCCCACACATACATGTACGCAGTCAGCTCACAGCCTCTCATGACCAACCTGAGGGAGAGCTCTTTGTCAGTTCACAGTGGGCCCACAGAAGTACAATATGTAGTTCAGGTTACAGTTGCAATGCACTAAGTTCAGTTGTTCATCTTGTTCTTGCTTCATTTGTCTCTTTCTTAGAGTCAGACGTTTAAAGAAATTGTACATCCTTTATATAGTATAGGATCAAATATCAAAAATCCATGCTACCACCACCACTGAATGTCAAACGTAGTTAAGAGACCACACTGGCGAGCGGCCAATCTGTCTTATTCAACTCTTTAGCTGTTCTCCATTTCAAGGGCCCACATTTCGAGACAGAATATGTAATAATGTGGCATGGCTGTCCTGTTCCAAATGCAGCACAGATATTTTCCCTTCTTGTTTTTAGGACACAACACAATTTTAGGGGGTGTATGTATTGTGTATCAACTGTGAAGCCTCCAATTATCCTTCATTTCTCTGACTGCCACACCTCTGGGTATCGCGTCAGCTCGATATATTTTCTTCATACATATACATTTAAATCAGCCTAGCAAATGCTTCCACAATAGTTCACACAGTTAGTTCTATAACAAAAAGTAAAAGTGCTATGTAAACCTCTGTAAGGCACTAACCCAAACCTAAAAAACTATTTTCATTTTTTCAACCAGGTATTTTGTCTGCAGGTATTCCTTTGAGGTTGCATACAGCAACTTTCACCAATAAGGTAGGGCAGCTTGTATGTAACCTGACAGGCGAAAACCAGGGCAAAACAGGCTTCAAGCACTGGCTCCTCCAACCTACAACTTTAAGAGCATTTTAATTGATCTGCAGGCAACTTTAATCTTCTCTTGTCTGGACTCTGGTGGCCAACAGTAAGAGGACAATAGAAAGAGTTAGTGAGATAATCCACCTGACAAAAATTACACCCTTGCATTCAAAGGAGGAAATGGGACAAAGCCTTTAATTGTCTGCCAGGATCACTCTCTGGACCTACTGAAAAACACCATGTATCACCTGACACACCTACGTCCTGTCTTTGTCCTAACTTTGGCAGCAACATTTAAAGTTACAGCAAAAGTAAAGAAAGAATAAAATAAAAATCCAATCCAATCAACACAAATCATGCAGCTGCCATATTTTCATTCAGAACAGCCAAGGAAGCTATGATAATGATATAAATGTCTGATAAGTCAAGTAGCACATTAGTTTTTCTATTTATTATATCATACAGTACAAGCTGCCTAAACACTCACAGAGGGAGTCTGGAGATCATTCCAGCAGATATGGAGGTGAGTCCATCCCCGAGGGGGACCACTGATCCTCCTGTCTTCAGCACGCCCACCACCAGCTCCAGCACCATCAGCCCTACAAAGAAAGGAGTGGCCTGCACACACACACACACACACACACACACATATATATATAAACATGATTCAGCACTGTTACAAACTGTGAAAACAAGACAGTTTCAAGTCCACTGTTGCTTTTAGCAGTTGTGTTGAGCTGGAATATTTGTCTTGGCAGATGAGCTAAAAGCCTGCAGGACTTTCATGTCTTGTGATCCATGATGTTTGTTTCACTGTGCGACGATGGCGCAACGGGTCTAAAACCACAACTTATTGGCAGATTGGAGATCACAAACATTTGTCCACATTGGAGGTTGAAATTATCTCATCGGTTGAGTTCAACCATTAGCACACTTTTTCATTTTTAGTGTTGTCAGGTGGAAGCCAAGCAAAATAAAGAAAGATGTAAGAGTCGATGTACTATAAAATGTATCTGTCATACAAAGTCACCAATAACAATATTAAGCTAGTTATCCTGTTAGTGTAAGCAGCCATAATAACATGTAGTTAGCTAGCTAGCTAACCTTTCAAGAATAATTCTAAAGTCTAAGAAGAAAATAAAGACGTCATTGTCATTTATAATCTTAATTTATATTTTACTCAGAGGTTTTACACTTTGTCTCCACACGCTGCTTGTATTCTCATATTTTTCCGCATTACTAATTCCTGTTTCAAATATGTACATTTAAAGAAGTGATGAACATAACTAACTAACTAAACTAAAGTGCTGAATGAATGTCAGGTTTTGCAGTTGGCACAACGGTATTTTAAGCTCTGTGATTGGATGTTTCTACATACAGATTTAGAATTGTAACAAACGTCTCTCCTTATATTTTTTCATGGAAACAGCTCCTAACTGACTTTTTATAAAAGAAAGCCTCGGAGGTTCTCCATATGTAACATAATGTTGTCTATGCAGAAAATGAATAGGACTTGCTCCCTGTTTTCTTAATATAACTCAATCCACTTCACAATTCTGTATATGAAAATATAACGTTTAAAAGGAGCAACTAAACAGTCGAGGCTCCATTTCAAAGTGGGTACAACAATAAAAAATAAATCAAAAACAGTTTTGTTTCTCAAAAGATTGAGCTCTGAGCTACTGCACATCGTGTGACAGTATATCCCACTAACATGTGACAACTTCCAGGGCTGCAGAAAGTTCATTATTTTCTTACTAACTAATTATTTTTCTTCACTCGTGATATAATAAGTGACTTTTGTTACATTAGGAATTTCCTCTCCAAACAAAGTACTCTGCTGCGGTTTTATTCTGTATTACCCACTTTAAGCACATGCTGCAGCAATATGTCTGACAAACGTGTGATCCACTAAGAAAAAACAAGCAAAGGATGTTTTTCATTTTAATCAGCGGCTATTTTTGTCCAAGATGTCACATGATTTTCAAACAAACGTTAAAATTCTACTCTCCTAAAGTTCCAAAGGATGGATTACATTTAGTAACTGGTCATGACTAAACAAATGGTAAGCACTAACCAAACAGTCAGTGACAGGCCTCTATTCTAACTGTGCTGGAAACATATAATAACCTCTTAATGGGTCTGTCAAACATGGAACCAATTAGTGAGGGACGTAGTTAGCAAACAGGTCACGACTGCGACTGCAGCAGTGTGTCAGACCTGCTGGTTAGCTTTAGCTTGAAGGCGCTCATTGACCAAGTGACTGCAGTCATAACTGGGACACATGGTCCTGCCAAGAGCGAGGAATGAAGGGCGTGACGAAACCGCAGAGGAGCACATCTGCAGGTGGGGAGGGAGGAAGTGTGTGTGTGTGTATATTCACGTGTGGATAGAAGTGAGAGTGAGTGTGCATGCATGTGTGCGCATATTCACATGTGAATGCTCCCACTCAGGCATGCAGGTGTGTGATGTGACCTTGTGTGTGTGTGTGAATGTGTGTGCACAAGCAAGAGGCGAGAGCACACCACCAGGGAACTGCGATCACACGCAACGCTCCAACATCTGGCAGCAGACTGCAGAGCTGCAGAGCTGCAGCTAACAAATGGGCTCGCAGCACAGGCAGACCTCCTCCAAACCCGCTGAGAGAGAGATTATCATTCTGGACGCCGGCCTAAAACCTTCCCTCCTTTATTCTCTCCTGTCTAGCAGATAGTTTTACCTCTGCAGCCCTGCACTCTTGACAGCTCGGGACAAAATTATTCAGCAGGGCAAGTTGATTTTCATGCTGTGCAAAAAAAAGAAGGCAAGGAAGGGAAAAAAGCTTGTCTTTGTTATTTGGGTTTTTTTTTTTGCCTTTCATCACCGTCTACAGTATTTTTTCTTCCTTTATTTTATATTATTTGTACTCCATTTTCTTTTCCCTCGGTTTCTGTCCCCTTTTGATCTTGCGTGCACTGAAAATCTCCTTTTCTGTGTTTTTATCTTTTTACAAATAAACAAAATATGACACTAAAGAAAGCCTTTTTAATACTGCAGCATACTTACAGTCCTTGTGTGGACTGTTTGTTGTGGCATCTAATAATTTTATTTTATTTTCTTCTGAGTCCGAGATTACATGGGACATGACATTTGTGGACCAGATGTCTGCATTTTCCCAAACAGTCTTTTTATAAGGTCACGGATGACTGATGTTGGCTGAAAACACGCAGGCTGACAATACACTTCTATCACTGTTTTCCTGGGAGAAATATTGTGTTTGCATTGAAATCACCGAATGGCAGAGAGACCTGGAAACTACCCACAAACCCTTAATTCCAAACAACTCCAAAATTAGAAGATTGTGTTTTGTTTTTTTCTAATTAATTTGTCCTGTTGGGGATCAGAGAACAACAGTTGTGCAGAATAATTAATGACACATCACAAACTGTAAACAGTGCTGAGTCACAAGCTGCTCACACACACCCATGCAAACTTTTATCACCATCGAGTCCTGCAGCAATAACAAATTTGTTTAATCACGGGTTGGTAGTGAATTATAAGGACTCCTGCTGTGAGGGTAATTGTTCTCCTCCCCTGATGTGCCCCATAAAACCTCATAACAAACATGTGCTGGTAAACCTGCACCAGACATTTGCCATAATAAATGGCAACTGAGACACTGTAAACTCACAGTAAGACGTAGAGGAAACCCCAAAGTTTTCATTTAAAATTCTGCATTGAGTAGAAGACTTAGAACACTTTCCAATAGCATTTAGATCTGAAGTTTGACCTTTAGTTACATCTAAGGCAATCTCTGTAAAACAACCTGGGATACGTTAACTATCTATCTATAATTGCTTTAATTGGTGTGTCTGTGTGTTAACTGTATGACGTAATATTCTCGCTGTATACATGTAATTAGTTCCCACGTCTGTGCCCTTGCAAAAGATTAATTACCCTTAATTAAGCTTAACCTTGGTTTACTTTGCATATTAAAATAGTATAGGATAATAAAATGGGTATTCTTAGATAATAATCTTGTATCTACAAAACTTTTTTGTTTGGCCTTGATTACATAATGACATTTAGACAACGTGCTTGGAGGTGGGATAACGTGTAAAGCTGACTTGAAAGTACAAAAATCCCTACAATAAGGCTTATGCATTACATTAGTCCACTGGGAACTTATATTGTTTTAGTTCCAGCTTCTCCAATGTGAGAATTTGCTACTATTCTAGTTTATATAACTCAATATATTTGGGTTGTGAGCAGTGCATCAACAACCTTGTACCTTCAGTTTTGGTGGATTTGAATTTTCGTAAAGTTTCCTGTGATTTATGACAAAGAAAAGCAACAAATCTTCACATTTGAGAAGCTGGAACCCGTCAAGTTCTTCTGAACTTCTCAAGTATAATTAACTTATTATAATGTCTTCTTCCAGGTGACAGTAAAGGTCAGGTGTCTCACATAGAGAAAGGTAGGAGGACTTTGATTTTTCCCCCACAACAAATCATCACACATTGTTAAAAGGGAGTGAGACCCAGGCTGTACCCACCTGCTGCACATACTGAGGAACATCTTCCACTTTCTCGAAAGCTGATTCGTTCGGTGTGAGCATGAAAAACATGGCCCGGACCCCCGCGGACAGCGAGCCGAGCCCCGCAGCTTCAGCCATTGTGGCACCGCGCCTACCGCTGCTGCAGGTGAGTTCCTGTTACCTGTGCAGGTATTGAGCTGCACACTGCGCGCACAAGCTCCTGTTTAAACCCTGCTCCTCTATTCGCTCCAAAAGCAAACAAACGCACCCTCGTTGTTTCTCTGCTGCAAGTTAAGTAGGTCAGTTACGAAACGGTGACAGCTGATGAGCAAACTTGTCACAGGGAACCCGAGTCCGATTAAAGCTGCAGGAGTACAGCCACTGTGAGCGTTTACCTGCTTATCATACTGTTTGGTTCTCTATGGGTGAGTTTACCTTTGGTCAGAGTGATAACTTCGAGGTGTCACATTCCGTGTCACTAAATCTCGCGAGAGTTTGTGCTTCATGTCTGCGGGATTTCAGTGTGCACCCAAAGTCCAGTTATCCATCTATCCAGGGGGACCAGGGTGGGAAATTCATTTTTTTGTTTTTTAAAGATATGAACATCTTCCAGCCGCTGACAGGTAAATGTTTAAATTCCACAGCCACTCAATAGTGAATCATTATTTTGTGTCTGGTGGTGTTAAAGTGATTTAAGGCCGGCTTGAGTATTAAAAAGTAGGTTCAACAGGGCCGTAGCCAGCATTTTTTTAGCACCATAAAAACAGAGCCAGTTTGAAAGGTTTTTTTTATTAACTTCATACCTTATTTACCAACATCAAGATAAACAAAAAAAGCTTCTCCACACTGTTAGAAATAAAATATTTGCCCTAAAGTGATACAATTTAAAGGAATAATTTAAGACAGTTGTGTTACCATTAGACTGAGCTGTTTCCAGTCTTGATGCTGAGGTCAAATGTGAGAATGAATCTTCTTATCTGAATCTCCGCCACAAAGGAAATACGTATATTTACCAAAATGCTGAACTTAGATTTTAGATTGCAACCAAGTGAGACTCCACACATGAAAGAGAATCCTACTACTAACTTCATCAACATCAATCTTTTTATACATTTATATAAGATGAATTCTTCATTGAGGTAGTTGACGAAGCTGGTTTGCCGGTGCTGGCTAAATCCTGGTTAGCGTAGCATGTTAGTTAACTAAACTAGGATGATTAGCTTGGCTGTATTAAGTTGACTGCTTATCCCGGTTTAAAGCAACTCACACTTGTTAATGAGAGGTCACCAACTGATGACCTAGACTTTCCTGCACTCTCACATTCCCACACAACTTCATATTGAAACATTTTTGGGTCAAGGGCCATTATGAATGAATGAATTCTCATACCAGTGGGGTTTTTAATTAGTGGCTATTTGTTGGACTCCTGGACGGTTGGTGGACAACTTAGCAGGTCACGACATTCAGATTAAACGTCCTTTAAAGCCAGAGGGGGCCAGTTATTGTAGATTACCCCGAGCAGAGACGATGTAGATAAGACGTCTGGTTACACATCCCAGCATCTGCATTGTCTTGGTGTGGTTGGGATTCAAGGACAGTTTAAAGGTAGATTCGGTCAGAGTTATAAAATGTAATGTCACCTGTTAGAGAGCTTAGTAGATCTATGATGACATAATCCATCACACACTGCCGGGCCCAATGACATCATTTAACAACACGAATGCTCACCCAGCTTTTGTCACATGCCACATAAAGCAGGTCTTTTTCCTTACACAGAGAATTAAATGCACATATTAAAGATTTTAGGGCCAATTGTGTTTATTTCTGTTGTTATTTTTTATTAAACAGCCAAGAATCAGGAGTTTGACAGCAGTTGGTCACTGCAGGTGAAGTTGGAAGTTGTATTTGGAGTTTATAGTCTGTGGTAACTGGGCTAATATTGTGCACGTTGAAGCCCAGTGGAAGAGGTGAGTGTCATCCAAATTTGTGAATATATATCTGTGCACTGAATTACAGCTGCAACGTGGAAAAAAAAAAAAAAGAGGATCATATTCATCCTGTGGGTTGCTTTGGGGCGAAGAAAAGAAAATTAAAAACCTCACATGCGGTGTGAGGTTCCTCCTCAACAAATTAGAATGCACAATCACAATGTGGTGAAAGTTGAGATCAAGTCATGAAATTATTTTCAACTGGATTTTTGTAACAGAAACCGATCCTTTGCGGGTTCTCTCTCCGAGCCTTGGCAGGAGTCTCGACCTTGCCCCGAGGCAAAGGTGAATTTAGCATGCACCCCCCATTACCAGCTTTCTACACTCCCAGCAATGTTTAATTCATTACAGCTTGATTTCATGAAACACACACACGCACCAGCCTGGATTCATATGGATGGATGGCTGCATAGATGGAAAAAAAAAAACATTATTCACTCATATGGGATTGTATTTACCACTGGTTAAATTTTATTCGATCTGCAACTGTCCCTGAAAAGGATTTAATAAAACACTTATTTCAGGTTTCAGATTTGTTTACAAAATGTCATCTCCAGGCAGAAAAGTGTCGACTAAAGAACTGTCAGTGTTTATTACTGCGTGAGCTGGATAGTGTGGGTATAAAATTATTGTTAAGGTAAGACAATACTGAGAATTATTTACAGGTCATTTATATTAGCGAGGCAAATTAGATTTCCTGGCATGTGATTTGATCAATAACTCAATTACATCGTAATTTACATTTTATACAGTAGAAACTGACTGAAGTGCAGACTGTATGTTCGACAGTGCAAATCAAAGTCTTAGCCTGCTTCTCTTAAGACACACAACATGGAATGTTTACAACAGTTTGACTAAATGATTTCCAAAATGTTATGCAATATTCAGTGAATCTGTGTAGCTAAAACATCACATTTCACTTTTTACCTTAAGGAATTTTTTAACCAATGGCGCTTTGAACTATGTCAACATCCTCCTTTATGTGCTCACTTCTTGAAATTTACATTTTGCCTGCACGATGACTGCATTATCTAACACACGTCATTCCTATGTACATTTGTACACTTATTTAGCATCGTTGTATGACGATGGCGAATTAGCAAACAGAAGTCCTTCTAAGGACGGTCCTGAGGCAGAGGCAGGGCCTATACTCTGAGGGGGAGGGGGCGGGGACAGGTGTGTGTGTGCATCATAAGTGAGCGTGCTCGGAGCTCTGGTCGCTGTCGTGACTGTCCTCATTGGCTAAGGAGTCCGTCGAGTGGTGGAGCGATGCGATGCCAGAGAACTCTGACGGCAGCAACGTCCCCTTTTTCACATTCACCAGTTCTTTCTCTCGAGCCGCTGCCCCCTGCTGGCCGCCTTTCACTCTTTTCCACTTCATCCTCCTGTTCTGGAACCACACCTTCACCTACGGGGTAAAGTAGACAGAAAATGTCAAATTCATCGCTCCTAAGGAGAGAGCAAACAGTCGCAAAAATAATCAAAAAGCAATTAGGAAGCCTTACTGCTCGACAGCAACTTTCTCTGAAGGTTTGGCAGCTGTTTCTACAGCCGCAATTATGTGTGGATGTAGTGTTCCATCTGCCACTTGGCGTCTACCTGTTTTTCCCTGACTCAACAGCCTCGACCGTATTTACGTCTCTCAGATTGATGATTAAGCTGTTGCTTAAAACGGTTTACACGTCAAGTAGCAGCAGAGGCCCTCAGAGTGTCGACACAGGGGGAGGACGGGGGTGGGGGGGAGGCTCGCTCCTGTCACGCAGGGCTGGG